TGGATAAAATAATATGTTCCATAAAAGATATCAAACTACGAGAAGTTCTTTGGCTTGACAGAAATATTACTTTAGAACAAGCCATTGATAAATGCAAAGCGAAGGAGTTGTCGACAACACAATTAAAGAATTTGAGATCCGAAGTAAGCGATATCAAAAAGTTAAGTTGGTCAAGAAATAATGACAGGAGGAGAGAAGACAAGAATTATTATAGTCGTGCGTTACCCTCAACATATCAGAGACAAGAAGAGAACATAAGCAAAAATAAATGCAATTATTGCGGTTACTCTCACGAGATTAGAAATTGTCCAGCTAAAGGCGCTACATGTAAATTTTGTCATAAAAAGGATCATTATGCCAAAATGTGTCTGTCCAAAAGAAAACGACTAGGGATAAATGAAATAATGGAAGAAGATAATGAAGACACCAATGACGATGATACTGATGATACAGATGAGGAGGAATTGATACTAAACATACAGGACGATAAAACTAAACAAGTAAATGCAGACTTGATATTCGAAATTCCATATGGGCGTTGCAAAACAGTATCATGCCAACTGGATACTGGTGCTTCGTGCAATGTAATAGGATTGAAAGAATTGACTTCCATATTAGAATTCGCGAACCCAATTATTGACAAAACCAAAACGAAGTTGAAATGTTTCGGTGGACAAATAATACAACCAATGGGAAAAATTGTACTGAATTGCCTACGTAAGAATGGAAAGTTCAAACTATTGTTCGAAATAGTTGAACATAGCCATAAGCCACTACTTTCTGCCAATACATGTGAAAAACTAGAGCTAATAAAAATTTGTAATTCAATTTCGAACCAAAATGAAGATGATAAGAAAACAGCAGAGAAAATCTTGGAGAAATACAGTGATATTTTCGACGGTATAGGAGAAATTGAAGGAGAAGTAAATTTAGAAATAAATGATGGGGTCAAGCCAGTTATACAACAGCCTAGAAGAATTCCTGCCGCCCTGATGAAAGAATTACAGAATACACTGGATGATCTCGAAAGTAAAAATATTATAATGAAAGAAGACGGCTACACCGATTGGACGAGTAATATTGTATTAATAAGAAAAAATAATCAGAAGTTGAGAATCTGTTTAGACCCATTCAAAGTCAATGAAGCACTGAAACCATTCAAATATCAGATACCGAGGCTAGATGATCTGATGCCAGAGTTAACAAAAGCCAAAATATTTACAACTTTAGATGCAAAAAACGGTTTCTGGCAAGTTAAATTAGATAAAGAGAGTAGCAAGCTTACCACGTTTTGGACTCCAAAAGGAAAATATCGTTGGTTAAGACTTCCATTCGGAATCGGACCGGCTATGGAAATATTTCAACAAAAACTTCACCAGATTGTATACGGGTTGAAGGGTGTTATATCAATTGCAGATGACCTACTTGTTTATGGATGTGGCAATACACATGAAGAAGCCTTACAAGATCACAATAAGAATCTTATGGAATTATTAGGTCGTCTGAGACAGAAAAATGTGAAATTGAACTGTGAAAAAACTAAATTGTGCTGTTCAGAAGTGAAATTCTTCGGACATGTGTTAACTAATAAGGGCATCAGGCCAGATGAAGAAAAAGTGCATGCAATAAAAAACATGCCAAAACCAAAAACAAAAATCGAAGTCATGAAATTCTTGGGAATGGTTACATATCTAGGAAAATATATACCCAAGTTAGCAGAAGCAGCTGAACCTCTCAGACAACTAACACATATAGATGAAACTTTTCATTGGACAAATACCCATGAGAATGCCTTCGACTATGTAAAAAAACTAATCAGTAAAGAAACAATTTTACAGTATTTTGACGTCTCGAAGGAAGCCACAATACAAACCGATAGCTCATCATTTGCGATTGGGTGTTGTCTCATGCAAGAAGGCCTACCAGTAGCCTATGCATCTAAGATGCTCAGCCCTTCTCAAGTAAATTATTGTCAGATAGAAAAGGAAATGTTGGCAATATTATTTGCATGCAGAAAGTTCCATCAATACATCTGTGGAAAAAAAGACATTATCATAGAAACGGATCATCAACCACTGATAAACATCTATAAGAAACCACTTGTGAATGTTCCAAAGAGACTTCAGAGTATGATGCTACAATTGCAAGACTACAATTTTATTCTCGAATATAGAAATGGTAATAGGATGTTCATAGCTGATCTATTATCTCGACTACCATCCGAACAGAATAATGAGAAAGAATATAAGATATACGAAATAAATCTGGAAATGAAAGAAATAGAAGCAGTGAATGCATTGGAAAATAAATTAGTGTCGGATACAACAATTAACGAAATTAAAAATGAAATGAGAAATGATAGGAATATGCTCGAACTATATAACATGATTCAGAATGGGTGGCCAACAAACAACAAAAATATTCCTGATGCAATCAAACCGTACTGGAAATTCAAAGAAGAGCTACACACCCAAGATGGTTTGATTTTCAAAAGAGACAGAATTGTTATACCAACTAAAATGAGAACATCAATCTTGAACAAATTACACCTTGGTCATCAAGGAATTGAGTACACCATAAATTTGGCTAAAGATAGAGTTTTTTGGCCTTCAATAACATCACAAATCAAAGAGAAAATAGAACAATGTGAAATTTGTTCTTCATTATCTAGAAATCAGAATCATCCTCCTATGGTGATACAAGAAATTCCAGATAAACCTTTCGAGGTGGTTAGTATGGACGTATTCGAAATGAGAATCCGTGATCGAACCCGAAGATTTCTCATCATCATTGATCATTTTTCGGATTTTTTTGAAATTGAAGAGTTGAAGGATATGTCTTCTCTGTCAACCATAATTTGTTGTAAAAGAACTTTTAGTAGATATGGAATTCCTAAGAAAGTTATATCCGATAATGGAACTAACTTCGTTAATGCAGCATTTGACAAATTCAAGAAGGAATGGAACTTCGAACATTTCACATCAAGTCCAAATCACCAACAAGGAAACGGCAAAGCCGAATCAGCAGTTAAAGTCGCTAAAAACCTAATCTTGAAAAGCATGGAAAGTGGTAATGACTTTTACGAAATACTGCTGATTCATAGAAACACACCAAACAAAATTCAATATAGCCCCGCACAACGACTATTCTGTAGAAGACTGAGGTGTACAATACCAATTAAGGAAGATAAACTCAAACCAAAAATACCAAAAAACGTCAAAGAAAGAATAGAAGAGCAACATACAACGTCAAAATACTATTATGATAAGACCGCAAGATGCTTACCTGATCCTGTGGTTGGTCAGAATGTATATTTCAAAAAGCAAAAAGATGATAAGAAATGGACACAAGGGGAAATCCGCGAAGAAATTGCTCCAAGATCATTTATAATAAAGACAGAGTCAGGAGAGCTCAGAAGAAATATAGTGGACATTAAACCACGGTATTCGGAAACAAGAACGAGGACTGATGAGCATTTCCTGCCAGATAATCAACACGAAAATGAGGGAAAAGATATGGAAGATGAAGAAACCTTGGACAATAGAAGACCGAAAAGAGAAATCAAAGTGCCGGCGAAATATGCTGATTTTCAAATGTCTTCAAAATAACTTTCATTCAACACAAAAGAGGAGCTGTTATAGAAATAGTTACTATGTTATTAATTAGTTATTTTATAGTTCAGAGTTATGTCACACTGTATAAGATAGGATGACGCAAGCAGTCAGACACTTGTCAAGGGAGCGACAACAGGCAGAATAAATAAAAACCTTGTTGAGTTCCAAATGTGTGTGCTATAACAGGCATACTGTCACACTTGTGACTAGTATCTATTCGGTCTAGTACGTAACTTGAAGCTTGTGCTTCATAACTTGGAAACAAGTCACATATATTGCGTAGAAGAATGGATAAAGCAGGAATCAAAGCAGTCAACTCAATGCAAATCAACTCAAAACTACTCTGAGACTGCTTAGAAACCCTGAATGAACTGGGCAGACAGAACAGACTGGCTCTAGCATGGATACCAGCACATACAGGATATGAGGGCGGATTCACTACAGCTCGACCAGAAGTTGGTGACGCTCTGAATGACGCAGAACACTTCTGTATTGCAGAATACAAAAAACAAGCATCGAATCATTATATCAGTGGAACTTTTTACAGGGCATTGTAGGCTCTACAAACACATGAGTATGATAGATCTACCGGAAGAACTGCTGTGCAAGTTTTTACAGAGACAGGAGGTAACAGCAGTACATGCACATTCTTTGCCACTGTGGTAAAGACTAGAAGGTTCCCTATGCACAGGAGAATAATATACCAAATATACACAGGGGTTTCAAAACCCAGCTAAATGATTTCGAGGGCAGACACAATAGGTTTGAGAAGGTCGTGGTGTGCAGGCAAATAGCTTTTGAAGATCTTATCCCGGAACTTTTCTTGTATTCGCGTTTCCAATATCATCATCTGACGTTGCGATGACGTTGAAACTAGGGAAAACATATCTAACTTCAAATCTATGTCAGGAGTTAGAAATGTTTTCCTCCAGTTTTAACGTCATCGTCACGTCAGATGATGACCTTGAAAACCGCGAATAATCTCCTCCTCCTACTTGATGAAAACTTGTAGTAGATGTAAATTGATAGCACGATATTTTTCGCTAACACAGTCACTTCTTCAAGTGAAATACACGCGTATAATGAAATTTTGCTGCCACCGACCCAAAAGTCGTCCATTTCAATATCGAAATTAGCTCTTGAATTGACGCTTCTATCACTGACACACATGGGTATGTTGATAAGCAACACTTTTGGTTCCTAGGAGCTAAAATTGAGCTTTTTCTCCTAGGAACTGGAAAGGACGTAATTGTTCATCAAGAATTAGTAACATCGTTATGGTTGGTTTGATCCTAATAAAACAATCTACTATATTGTGTGTTTCCTCATTATTTCTGAGGCAGATCACAAGAATCATTACTTTAATCTTTTTTTTTTCTATTGCAGTTAACGTCGTAGATGGAGAGATTCTGTTCATCACTAAAGTCAGTCGTCTCCACATGGCAGTATATTTGTGCATAGCCTCTAACGGGGTACCACCATCGATCAGCAAGAGGGTGCAGTTGAAAGTGCAATGTGAGTTTCTGTTTTGAATTACATAAAATTACATAATAAATAACATGTTATATTTTCTACAGCATTTTGAAAATTCAATCTTTTGAACTTCTACCAAAGCTAGTGAAGAATAATGATCTTCGAAGTGAGGTCATGAATTTTACTAAAGCTCACACAGTGTGGTCAAAAATATCTTGTGTTTGGAGGTTTATCAAAGCCTCGAGAGTTATATTTTCGAACCAAAAATCTTAATAAGATATTTCAACGCACGATCGAAGTCCGATTCAACCGATATACATAGGGTTTCCTATATCAAACTCCAAAGATTTTCTAGCTGTCAGGGTTTTTTTATGAATCTGATAACAAAGAAGGCCATGCCAAACAGAATCGCAAGGGCTATATAAACTAGAAACTCATAAATGCATGAAATGTCACAATTCAAAATGGAAAGAACTATTCTTATATCCTTCTGGTTGAGTGTAACACATGGGTAAACGCTAACTCTGCCATTTGACAGTAAGCATCAAAGTTATTTGTAAATCTACTCATTGTACCTGTTATTTATACTTACTATCAATAGAAGCTCTTTATTATTATTATTACTATAAATCTACAGTCAGCATTCCAGATACATTCAAAGTTCGGCAGCTAGTGCAAAAAGAACTGTGAGTTTCCATGAAACATTTGAGAGACGATTCAATATTCAATTTGTTTGTATCCATGGCAACGTATGCCTCAGCTCATAAGTTAAGAGAGTGGATTCCTCGTTAAGTTAGCAGAGAGCAGATATTGATGCAACCGGCCTTTGGTCTCATAGCAAAAATGTCTTGAAATCAAATGTCCGCAGCTGCATTGGAATCATCAGAATGTACAAAACGAAGTAAAATGAAGGACGGACGATAACCAACTATAGTCCGTTGATGATGTAACCCTAAAGAACAAATCTTGTTCAATCAAGATCTACAAATGAAAGCAACAGTGACCATTAAATTAGCTTCCTTCTGGCATAGATCTATGCCTCTGGCGAATAAACTTGTTCTCTCGGTCTCATTGCAGTGTTCTCCAACTAACTGAAAATATGTATGAAGCTCAAGAAGGAAAACACTTCAGAACTCTACAATGGAATAGCCTCGCATGTTTTCATCATAATTAAAATATCTAGGCACACAAAGCACAAAGCACTGTCAGTCTCACATGAACGCTTTTTCGTATCTCAGCAAGCCAGTCCGGCTTGCCACAACAAAAACGCATCGTCCGAAATTGAAACAATACTCCCTCGAGTATCTTTTGTTTTGGAGAATATTACATTTGCAGAGGAGGCGGGGGAGAAGAACGAAATAGGTCAGGAAATTGACAGAGATGGCATCTGGGCTATGGCAACTGATTGAATAAATTATTGTAGGACGACATAACCGATACGAGATGGAGGAAATTTGTCTCAGGAATAATTGATTATACAGAGAGATACAGAGAGTAGTTATACGTGAACCAGGTCAATCCGAACATCAAGAATGATGCTGACTGAAGGTCAATCGAGGTGGTAATGGAATATTAATCTTCCTAGATTTTTTGAATTATCTCTCCTTGTCTCTGAAAATGTCACTGCGCTCGAAATGCCATCGTTAGGCACTTAAGAAAGAATTCAAACGATAGTCAGTGAGATCCTGTTCGAAACAAATTCAAGAAGAAGAATATTGATAAGAATAAAAATAGGGAGCAATTATTACTCTAATGCCTGGAATTGAGTAATATGAGTTAATAATTCCTCCTTGCAGTCGATTTTTTGACCAAAAATGAGAGATAATAAAGTTTGAATGAACATGGATAGAGTTATATTTTGTAGGGTTTCTCTGAAGATGGTTTATCATCTATATTCTAGAAACTGTTGGAGATATTTAGCTATAATTCAAAAATAATTTGATCGAAATTCTAAATTCTCATTCAGGACTATACAGGGTGTTTGGTTCACCGATGTATATGCGGGAGGAGGTGATCGGTTATGTGACTTCGAAGATATTCAACCATAGTTATGTATATACTATTATACAAAGTGTAACACTTTTCGAGAAATCATCGCTTATAAATTCAGAGTTGGATGTTACAAAAAATCGTCATTTGAATTCTAACGAGCCAAAACATTTTTTTATCACCTTCAGATCACAATACGTGTTCAATATCAATATCAACTTTTTGAAAAGAAGGTGATACAATCAGGTAACATTTTCGAAGAAACGATAGCTCGGAATTCGCAACACTTATTTGTATAATAGTATTTAAAGGATGACATTGAAATAAGTGCAAATATTTCAAACACTGAGAAAGCTCGACGTGTACTATCGAATAGCACTAATAAAAAAAATTTAGGGATCAAAATGAAATTTGAGGATAGACTCCTTTTTTCACCCAAAGTTTTACACTGTAGCAAATCTGACGTCACCTATGTTAAAATTTTCATGCGGTAGGCACAATCAAGCGAAGTTCAATAATTTAAATTGTTTTAAAGTGGCTTACTTGATTTTTTCTCGTATTTTGTTTAATTTTTGGGATGGAATTTCTCGTTAATTAGAAGAATTAGAAAAAATCTGATATCATGGGAATATTCCTTAGACTGTATCATATTTATGTGCTGAATATGAGCACCTATTTCAAAAACACCTTGTATAGTAAAATATGTTTGGAATGTTCTCACCTTTCAGATATACGTCGATGAACCAATCACCCTGTATATCAAACGGAGTCTATCTGCTTAGTGTAGGCACTGTTAGCGTTCATTTTATTGTTTGCTAGGTATTATTTCAATTCCTCAACAGAAAATGGAGATCGAGAGATGTTTTCATTGTAGGGTATACTCCTGTTTGCATTGATAAAATACACAAATTCTACACTGAAATCAATTCGAAAAAGAATCTATCTTAGATGCAATATTTCTTCATGCATATTAATTTGTTCGTGTTTACTCTACTGCTGATTAAATTACTCGACTCAGAAGAATATCAAGAATATTCTTTCAAAAATAATATGAATGATGTAATTATGTCAAGTAATTCCATGTTCAATTCGTTTCCACTTCAAATCTGTACATCTTATTATAGCCTAAGAATGGGAGTATCTAGAAATTTTCAATTTATGTGACAAAAATGAAAGAAATAAAGAGTAACTGAAGGGACGCAAGTACATTGAGCCAATTCTGTTTGATACACTCTGTGAGAAAAAACATTTCATCTATTTTGAGCTATCTATATCTGATTTGTTAAGGAAACTTCAATCTCCATAAGACCAAAAGGATCTCCTTCCAGACCATGTTTATTCTCGTATATTCTGGATTTCAGGCATAGATTGAATGTTCACTCCAACATACGATATGATTTTATATGAGAAATAACTATTTCGCCATCGTGGATGGTCCACCATATTGGATTCAGAATAACGTCACATTATTTTTCGAGTTACTCTCAACGAGCCCATCCATTTGATACCCTGTGTGTACCAAGTGCATTGAAAATAACTATTCAGTCATCTTGGATGATCCGCCATATTGGATTTAGAATAACTTCACTCACCTTATCGTGCATTGTCATCCAAACTAAACGTGTAAACAAAATTTCAGCTCAACTTACCTACATACATTGCAAGTTGAATGAAAGCTTCTAACTTTTAATAAAAAAAAGACCCAGCACTGGCCCTTGGAGCACTCCTTATCGTACAAAGCTAAATTCATCTATTTCATTAGGTTAATTTTTTATCGATATTCGTTCTACTTACTTACCACCTTGTATAGCTGCTATCAATAATTTACAGTTCCTCCGATGCTATCGATCCCGAATCAGCTAGAAGGGGCCTACATAGGACAAGATGTCACCCTGGAGTGCAGAACAGAGGCTTTCCCGACATCTATAAATTACTGGACAACGGAGAGGGGAGACATGATCATCTCAGGTAGTAAGTACTTACATTCCGTTGTTGCAATTTGAAATTTCATGAAAATCACGATGAACCCCACGGTAACCTTAAACCAAAATTGATCACATCTCACTCGGAAAAAGCTTTCTGTTGATGTCAATTGTCAATGAAGACCGACCCTGGAGATAAAATATTGAAAGACAACCTCACTCTTCTGTGAAACATTGAAACACAACCTCACTCTTTTTATTTGTTCAGAGAGGAATCAAAGAATTGAAATATTGTTGCACAATATTTTGACATACGAATCGTGTTCTTTGCGCTACTTAATAATTCAAGCATGCCTTCTCATTGTGCTGTTGTACAATGCACAAAAAATGCAGCGAGAGACACATAGAAGATAATACTGCTGAAGATTTGAAATGTCTACAACACATGCACACGATCATATTTCGTCAGCATGTCAGACCAGTCCTCCCGTTTGATTGCACCTCTTTCCAAAGACTCGTTCATCCAACGAACAGCGAGGCTCTGGAACACATTGCCAAGGGAAGTGTTCCTCGAGATATATAACCTACAGAAAATTAAGAAGACCACCAATTCCTACCTTATTTCCCTTGGTTCTCACGATATTCTCTGAACATTACAGGATATCCCGTTTTGTGGGAACCAGAACATTAAAAATAATTGCATGATTCCATACTTCTTGCGTTCTTTTAGAAATTTCACGAGTATTTCTATTAGCTCCTATTGCAAAAGGAATTCCGATGAAAAATTAGAAAAATTACCATATTTCAAAATGAAAACTATATGTGAGTGACTATAGTAGGTACTTATACTTTAAAATCATAATGTACTAACCAGATTCCTCCGTCTCTCGCTGCATTTTTTGTGCATTGTACAACAGCACAATGTGATGGTATGTGCGAATTAATGAATAGCCGAAAAATACGCCAAAATAATTGTGAAGAACTATTTCAATAATTTGTAAACAAATAAGAAAAGTTTTAATGTTTCACTTCCAGGGTCGGTCATCTGACAGTTCTTGCATGCAACCCATTCCAAGAAAATGTTCAATATCTTTCGCATTGGCCCGATTTTATTTTCATGTGACTTTTAGCATCTTTGTAGCCATAAACATTTCAATGTCTGTCATCATGGTCTAACCCTTGAAAATATAACCAATTGCATGAGATTACTCCTAGTAATCCATGAGCAGGATTATTTCACCTTGTAATAGATCATGTAGTTTCGATTTGTGGGTATGTTGTATGTTGTGCTGGTACCCTATAATGCATTTCTTGAGTGTTCGACCTCAAAAGAGTGAAGGCGTGTATTTAGGTACGTTTTTTTTTTCGAATTCACTAGGTAATGGTGAATTTGAGGTCGAATATGGTTTTATAGATCTTTTCCGTCGACCTCGTATCGTTCATTAATGACCTCTAATAATGAACGATTTGTCTATTAATGCACGATTGTTTTATAGGCAACCAAACATACACCGCGTGCATTCATTGTTTATGCTATAACTTAGGGAATCTGCATTTAAATCGAAAATATGGATTTCATCGAAGATTTTCCGTTAACGGGTTCGCCTTTCCAAGTTTCTGACACGATTTTATTCCTTGCTTTCTAACACAAGGAATTCATTTTCTATGTTGATCATTTCGACAAATGTCAAATGTCACTAATGTCAGTAACAAGGCTACTGGTTGATTCTTAGCAGTTTCCGGATGAATGATGAATTCGCGAACCAAGTTTTCTTCATTGCAGGAGAAATGAGAAATATAGTCGACGGAAAAATTTTGTAACCAACTTGTATATTAAAAGGCGATTAATACACTAGTTGGTTGAATAACTATTAAGTTAGAGCGTGTCAGATTAGGGCTCATTATTGAATGATATAATGCTATAGTGTTTGTGTGTCCACACTCCACAGTAGGCTCAATCCACATCTGAATAGTCACACCACTAGTCAATATCGATCCTCTTTTTCTTACTCGGTTTCAAAGCTGTACAACTGGATTCCGGATGCTCTGAAGGAAATGAATATCTTGGGTTTTGAAAGTCGTATGAAAAAACTGCTTTTAACTTTTGAATTGCAGTTGTAACAAGTCCAAAATCACTTTCCGATCACGTGTCAATCTTGGTTGTAGTTATATAGACCGTAAAATATTTTTTCCACTCACATAACTAAAATGGCATTTAGCGTACGGATATGTACCACGCTAAATGATCGATTAATCACGGATTGTCGATCTGTGATTTATTCGAAATATTAAACACGTTACCATGGCAACACGATTTCTTAAACACATTACCATGGCAACGCAGTTCATTAAACACAGCTTCAGTAATTTGAGACATGTCTGGCCTGTCAATTGTATTAACTGTCAACTGTTATTTTCAAATTTTGTATCAGAATTATTTAAACAATATTCGTTTGTATCAGAATTATTCATTAAAAATATATGCGAAAAGTAGACGAAAGTGAAATCGAAGAGAATGTTCTGGTACTTGCATATCTCCAAGAAGTGTAAAAATGAAGCATCCATCTTTGAGAACAATTCATTCTGCGCTAAGCATGACAATAAACGTGAAACAAAGGTTAGTAAGCAATGGACTGGACACATCTACAACCAATATCACTTATACGTGTCTCGCTGATTGCATGCAGTTGCATGTATTATGTTATCAATTCCCATTCCATTCGAATTATTTTGTAGGTTAGCAGGAATTCCAGGTGTATTAATGTAATTTTCTCTTCTAGACACTCGTTTATTAAACACTCGCTCCGCTCTGCTCCGCTCGTGCTTAAAATACTCGTTACTAAAAGGACGTTTATAACACTTGTTACATAATATACTATTGCTAGATATAAGTTCAATGAATTTCCATGAATTTTGTTCTTTTTTATCTTCGATTTTTGTTATTTCCTATTTAAGATTGAGTGGAAGAAGGCACTCGTCTGTCTCTTTAGGGATCAGACCAAAGCTAACTCTGCCCTTTGGTAGAAATGCATACATTTTTGTTACTATTTTGTACATTTATTCTTGTTTCTACCAATAGCGGTAGCAAAAAAGCGGTAATTATTATTATTATAATAGTACTATAATTGTGCCTTCAGATCATTATTGGGGAACTGAAACAGAGAACATATCATAACTATACATGATTTTTCGCAAGCAAAGAGGTATTTTTAGGATCCTGCTGCTGGACAATAGCGGCGGCCAACAGCTGCATGCTGTGACCAAATTCATATCACGTGTCGAAAACATAGTTTTCCCAACGTGACAATACATACGCGAACTTCATATTTATATATGGAGAATCTCTTTGTCATTGCTATTCGGTTTTCAGAATGGAAAAACTGAATCAGTAATTGGAACAACACAATAAAATTGATTGGTTCATGGCTAACTCGACAATTTTCGCGATAGTTAAATTGAATATTTCATCCGATTAGAGAAAAAAAATCACTCAAATATCGCCCTACATACAAACAAAGATTCAAAAACAAATAGATAGAATAGAAACCATTTTCTTCAATTCCTAAAGGTTGATCTTGATCTTGCCCTATCCACAGCTTTACAGATGATAATACTGCAGCCTGGGGAACCAACAACCTAGTTGAATTCAACGTTTAAAAAACTCAAACCTGTATTTTCTCCAGCAATACTCTTTCATGATGAAATCATCACAAAAACTCGGTTTTTTATTCCGTGCGAAAATCTACTATACATCTCAACAGCCTCTTATGATCTACACGGCACAGATACGGCCAGTTCTAGAATACTGTTCATATTATTATGGGGTCCAGCACCCAAACATACGCTGATGCTCTTAGATTCCATCCAGAGAAAAGCAATCCGCCAGGTGGGTGATGCCACACTCACTAATACTTTGACTTCATCAGAACACTGTAGAAAAGTCGGCGACCTTTCATACTTTTCTATTGATACTTCCACGGGAAATGTTCCTCAGGAATCTCTGCTATCATAATATCACTAGCAATATTAGTCAGACGAGCTCGACAGGCCCAGTCAGCACATCCTTTCGTTGTAAACCTTGAAATATGTCGAACAACACTTTACCAAAACTCGTTCGTCTATAGAACGGCAAAGCTTTGTGATTCTTTGCTAATAGAAGTAGGTATACCAAAGAACATACAGGATGATTCATGAGGAGACTTATATAGCTAAATGGTGAATAGGAAAAATCAAGACGAGTTGATGTATATATGAAAGATTTTTTTGGCCATCCATAACGAAGATACAGGGCATTATGAGAAATTGACATATAATTTGATGGCCAATTTTTCAGATATGATTCATCGTAATTGTCTTAGTGGTGCCAACGAGAGTCTCGTTTTCGAGAGTCTCGCATGGTCTCGCCTCGTTTTCGAGACAAGACTCGAGACGAGACTCGGACAAGAAAAGACGAGACTTTTATTGGTCTCGTCTCGAGTCTCGTGTAAGACTTCTCGTGTCTCGTGCTCGCTGGTAAATATCTTTGCGTGCCGACTGCAGACATGAGACTTTTATTCATAATACAACATATTTAGACAAAATTCAGATTATTTGCACAGAAAGACGAAACATTCCATTCATAAATACTTTGAAAACACAATCCATGATTGTTGTAAAACGACGTAATGCGTGAAACGAAAACGGACTATTCTCTCTCTTACGGCGGCGGAATATAAAGGCAATTCTGCAATAACGACAGATCGCGAATTGAATGACTACCTGAAGATCCATAAATAAGTCATTCTGTGCTAAATAGTCTAAGATAAAGAATAACTTTGTTTTGACGGTTGCATCACCTATCGCCTTTTAGTATGTACCTATTAGGTACTAATTTTTCAATAAATAATGTTATTTTTGTTGTAATTTTCTCTTCCTACTTCTACGTTATACCTGAAAAGTAGGTAAAGGTAAATATCCCGTACTAGACTGGAAGAAGATTATGCATGACGAAATTGCGATACATTTGCGAGACTCTCGTACGAGACGCGAGACAAGACGAGACTGGACGCT